AATTAGTTTTTTAAACGGCTTGAGCGTAGCAAATCGGGGTCGGGGAATCCGAATCCGGTGTTAGTTTTTTGAAATTTTGCTTTTAGCTTTTTTGAGGGGAGAGAGAGACTTTTTTACACAAAAAAATTAGTTTTTTATAAGGCTTGAGCGAAGCTAATCGGGGTCGGGGAATCCGAATCCGGTGTTAGTTTTTTGAAATTTTGCTTTTAGCTTTTTTGAGGAGAGAGAGAGACTTTTTTACACAAAAAAATTAGTTTTTTATAAGGCTTGAGGAAAAGTAATCGGGGTCGGGGAATGCCGACGGAGTATTAGTGGACAATTCTTTCAGACCATTAAATCATGCACATGCTGAGTGACGGTCTATGTTGAAAAAATGTAACATTTTGTCTTCTAGTCTAATTAGTGGAGGATATCTGCCTGCATACCAGAAGGTGTCGGTTCGTGTCTCACATGGAGCAATCATTTTTTTCGTTCTGTCACTGTAATATCTCCTCCTTTTGAACCACTGTGTAATTCAAACCCTTGAGGCTAGATTACGTAAATAAAAGCTTTGACAGAGTCGCTACTTCTCCGTCAATTTGATCTGACTGAAATGGGAATCGTTCGCATACGGCCTTGTGTACGGAATGTTTATCAGAATTATTTGTGCTGCTAAGTGCGTATAATTTTGTTGTAACCAGGGGAACCTAATGTCCGGGAGGGAATGTACAGTTGATGAAGACGAGTTGCAATGGTACAGAGAACAATGGCTGCCGCTAGCCGTGAGTGGCGCCCCGGAGGGGTACCGACGAACGACTAGCCGCTAACTTGATAGTTGTTGGGAAACAATCCTTCGCATGCCTCACATGCTTACACTAAGTTGCTACTGCTGATTCGTTTTCGACTGGGATGATGTTTATGGCATGCATAACAATGAAAAAGTTGGACTATGAGCTATCTTGCTGAGTTTTTTGTATGGTGCAGTGTTTCTTTAGTTTCGAGGAAAACACGCTATAAAATAAGCTAGGGATGCAACAAATCTTCGAAAAGGTTTGGATTTGGGACCAAAGCCATTGGATTTGGTATTGGATTTGGTTTTGATCGCTGATATTGGATTTGTATTTGTATTTGTATTTTAGATTTGGGATTTGGGTTTGGGTTTGTAGCTTAGATTTGGGTGTTATGTTTGAATTTGTATTTTAGATGACAGCGTTTTTGCTTCATGTGGGAGATATTTGTTTTAAAAAGTAAAAGAAAACATGCAACTGATTGAACTTAATGCATCATATATATCACTACTGACTTAAACAAACTGCTTAAAAAATAATTGATATGCTATATAACACCAAATCCGAACGATTTGAGCCATCTAAGACCAAACCTAAACCAAAATCAAACGATATGAGTCATTGGAGACCAAATCCAAACGATTTGGGCCATCCAAGACAAATCCAAACCAAATCCAAATATCTAGTATCCAAATCCAAACCCAAATCCAAATATCATATAACAAATCCAAACCAAATCCAAACATCTGCTACCAAACCCAAAACCAAATCCAAATATCAAATATCAAATCCAAATCCAAATCCAAACCAAATCCAAAATTCAAACCCAAATCCAAATCTTCCAAAACAAATCCAAAGCTTTGGGTTTGTTGCATCCCTAAAATAAGCAAACTCAAAATCATGTAAAGTTCAGTTAAGTGCCATATCTGTTGCAGACGTTGGCTACCATGATACGCCATTTTCTTCTATCCAGTGCAGCGTGAAGAAAGTCTACTTTCTCATATCCTTGCTTTTCCGTCCATAAGTTCATGCTTTCGAGGTACTTGATTCTTGGTCTTCCTTTGTCTTTCTTCCCATTGATCTTCCCACTTAATACCAGTTGTTCTAAACAGCCTTTTCGGATTACGTGACCGATGAATTTCAGTTGTCTATACCGGATAGTATTCAACAAACATCTTTTCCATTTCATTCTTCTTAATATTGATTCGTTGCTTTCTCTGTCCGTCCAAGATACACCCAGCATCCTTCTTAGGAACCACATCTCTGTAGCCTCCAAACGTTTTTCCATTTGTTGGTTGATTGTCCAACATTCGGATCCATAAAGAAGAACCGACCACACATAACATTTGAGGACCCGTGCTTTGGTGTTGATAGATATGGTTCTGTTTTTCAGAACTGGACTCATCTTTTGGAATGCTTGTTTGGAGAGAGCAATTCTCTTTTTTATTTCTTCATCGCATCTTCCATCTGATGTAATGGTGGAGCCCAGATAATTGAAGCGCATAACTTGATTGATTGCCTCTCCATTGATGTTCACGTTGCATGTTGGTGGACTTTTGCTTTTTGAAATACTCATGCATTCCGATTTTTTAACATTGAGTGTTAGTCCCATCTTTATGCTTTCTCTTGAAACGACATCAATCATTTTTTGGAGGTCTTCTTCACAGCTGGCAATTAGTACAGTGTCATCCGCATATCTGAGATTGTTACAGTTATAACCTCCAACTTTCACTCCTTCTATATCTTCTAGACTTCTGAGGATCATTTCGCTGTAAATGTTGAATAAATCTGGAGATAAAACACAGCCTTGTCGAACACCTCTCTTGATATTGATGTATTCGCTGACGTCATTGTTTACTTTCATGGCAGCTTTTTGATCCCAATAAAGGTTTCGTACCAATCGTAGATCTTTACCATCAATGTCGAGTTTTTCTAGAATTTGGAAGAGGTTGTCATGTTTGACTTTGTCAAACGCTTTTGTGTAGTCGAGAAAGCAGAGATATATATCATGTTTGACTTCTATAGTTCTTTCGATCAACATTCGTAGGATGAAAATTGCATTTCTGGTGCCCTTATCATTCATAAATCCATATTGTTCTTTTGCGATTTCTGGTCTGATTTTGTTTTTCATTCGCATCATGAGAATCTTGAGTAGAATCTTTGTCACGTGACTCATGAGACTGATTGTTCGATGAAGTTCACATTCAGTGGCACCAGACTTTTTTGGAAGGGCTATGAATGTTGATTTGATTAAGTCCTCTGGGATTTCGCCTGTATCATATATTTTGTTTATTAACTTTGTCATGGCATCAACCCCTAGTTCGTCGAGACTTTGAATCATTTCAATAGAGATTCCATCAGGGCCTGTTGCTTTGTTAGCTTTCATTGATTTTATAGCTTGTCTCACTTCGTCTTTCATAATCGAAGGTCCGTCTATATTTTTCTTGATGTTAGGTTTAGACAGCCTATTGTCATCAAAAAGCTCTTCTATGTATTCCGACCATCTGTTCAATATTTCATTTTTTTCCATAATGATGGTCCCACTTTTTGATTTGATACAGCCTGAGCTGGTACATCTTGATTTTCCTGTAATTTCGTTGATTTTTTCATGAGCGTATTTGGTGTTAACACTCAACTTGTTCTCAATCTCTGAGCATTGCTCGTTCAGCCATTTTTCTTTTGCCTCTGAGCATTTCTTTTTGATTTCATTGTCCATCAACTTGTATTCAGGCAGATTGGACTTCTTGAGTCGTCTTTGTTCCATTAGTTTTAGGATGTCGTCAGTCATCCATTTCTTCTTTTTGTTCTTTTGAGCTTTTGGGAGTACTTTTTCAGCAGATGTTAGGATCGCGTGTTTCATCTGCTCCCACAGTACCTCAGTCTTTGTTATTTCATTGGTTTCGATCAATGGTTCGAACCGATTCTGTACTTCAATACGAAATTTTTCTTTCATGTTCACATCACTTTTGAGGAGCGAGATTTGGAGCTTTGGACTTTTCTTTGGCTCTTGTAGTCTTTTTAGTTTTACTCGAATCTCGCTGATAACTGGAACATGATCACTACCACAATCTGCCCCAGGAAATGCTTTGGAGGAGATGACCGAGTTTCTGAAGCGATGAGAGACCATAATGTAGTCTATTTGATTTCTGGCACGGTCTCCAGGGCTTCGCCATGTCCATAGTCTACGTGGATGATTCTTGAACCATGTGTTCATAATAACAAGATCATGAGATTGGCACCATGCTATAAGATTATCTCCTATGTCGTTCTTGTTTCCTAGACCAAAAGGCCCTACGGTGTTGCCAATCCGTTTATCTCCCACTTTCGCATTGAAATCCCCCATTACATAGATGATGTCCTGTGAGTTGCATTGCTTGTAGGCTTTGTCTAGTTCTTCATAGAAATCTAATATTTCGTCTTCGTCATAGTCAGCTGTCGGTGCATACCCTTGAATGATGGAGATATTGAAAGGTTTGCCATGAAGTTTTACAAGCATAACTCTGTCTGAAACCGCCCAGAATCCTTTTACACTCTTAGAAGTTTCTTTGTCAAGAAGTATGCCTACTCCTCTCTCGTGTTGATCTCCTCCAGAGTAAAATATAGTAAAGTTATCTGTTGTGAAGGATCCGGCTCCTGTCCATCTGACCTCGGATAGACCTAACACATTGATCTTCAGCCTTTCCATTTCTTTCTTTACATTTTCCAGCTTTCCTTTTTGAAACATAGTTCTCACATTCCAGGTTCCTATTTTGAACGAGTTCTTGGTGTTCTTGGTCTTCTTGATGTTGGTGTTGATGTTGGTGTTGGTGTTGGTGTGGACAGTTGTCTGATGACGATCGGGAGTCACCTGTCCTTCGTGGTCATCCCTACCGAGCGTGATGTTCTCTCTGAGAACCCCATTTACGCTGTTATTTCGATTAGAAGTTTTGTCGTGAATCATGGTGTACTTGGGAGTATACAGCGGTGGTTTCCCATTGCCTTCCGCCGGTTTGAAATGGTTTACTCCATTTGATGAATTACCTGTCAAGGTTAAAGAGCTTCACCTACTCTGGCTTAAGGCTTATGAAACTTAGTTCAGATGAACCTTGCTTCTGGCGGCCTACACTCGCCTTGTCATCTTGTCGTCTTCGGGTTCTTGTAGTATTTTATAGGTGTTTTGGTGCCATCCAAAACCCCACCACACCCTGCTGACAAGATGCTGAATTGTCCGGGACTGCTTATTTGAACAATTGCTTGTTCTTATTCGCAGCTAACCATCGTACTAATGGCTGTTCCACTATCCGCAACCTGTGGACCCGCTTGGTAGCATCCAGCCTTGCCCCAAGCATGTAAAGTATCTGTACGAAATGAGTGCCTATCGACGAAGTAGATTATAACATGGTAACGGCTAGCCGTGAGTGGCGCCCCGGAGGGGCGCCGACGAACGACTAGTCGCTGAATAAAAACGGTTTCGGTACAGTAGTGTTGATGTTGCAGATCTGTAGATTAACGTTTTTGTGCTGGCTCGTTCTTCGTCGACCGAGGCCGTTCATCAGTCGAAGAAAACAGTGTGCAAATTGGGCTCGTATGTGTATCACTGCTATGTTATCGAGTGATAGTATTTCGTCAGGTTTCATCGAACCAGGCGTTTTGAAAGAAGTGAAAATGATGTAGATGATCTGTGTGATATACAGATCTATCTACAAAGTATATTATAACATGGCCACGGCTAGCCGTGAGTGGCGCCCCAGAGGGGTGCCGACGAACGACTAGCCGTTTAACATAATATTGGTGGAAATCAACTTTTGAACCGCGGAAACCAATTGAATAATGTTATATCAATAAGGTCTATTTAGTTAGGACTCTTGGACGGGTGAGGATAAAGCTGATTAAAAATGATCTTTTAATGTGGCGCTCTAGGTTGTGGTACGAAGAAAGCTGAAGCGTTAGTATCCTATGAAAATGATTATATCTGGGTTTTTAGAACCATGTTCTTGATTAATGATTATCCAGTGAACGGATCAGCAGATGAAGTGATAAGACTCTGGAGCTAACCCGGCTGCAGTGCTTTTTAAATATTCTTTGCTTTCAGTAGAGGGTCAGCAGCGCTTACGCTGCGTTACTTGTACATTAGCGTAGTACAAATAACAGCAGAACACATAAATAAAGCACAAGTTATCTACGCGCCTTCATTTATAAAGAGGAACAATAAATAAATCAAAAACTAGTAAATTACGAAAATACATAAAATCGCAAATAAAAGTTACGAAAAATACAATAGATCAAATAATATGATTATCAAATTTTAAAATATTTTCTCAAAGCATGAGATCATTCATTCTGTTCATTTCTTTCGAGAATGTTCATGTTTTGTGATGTTAATGATATCGATTGTGTTGATTACTTTTCAAAGTCACCAAGAGGACTATTGGATTGTGTAATTAATTTGTAGAACAACCAGAAATATCATTAATATCTACAAGAAAATATCGTCATAATACATTTAAGGATCTATGGAGACATAAGCATACCAGATACGATAGTACTTTTTCGAGCTTTATCTTTATGTTTCTTCTTTTTGGCTTGATACATTCAAGTATTGGTATCCAAACAGATCATCATATGTTAAACCAAACTTGACTTGAACAACATCTATAATTTAATAAAAGAGCATAATAGCTTGATGATGTTTTAATGATTAACCTTGAATAGTTGTAATTCTTTTAATTGTGCCAAGACAGTGTGGATCAAGATCAAGAAGCTCTTGTTCATTCTTGAAAATTTTATTAATAGCATTTAAAACAAATTTATTCGGTTTCGTTCGATCAGTTGCAATTTGAATGAGATTAATTTCTTCATCTATGCTGAATTTGTAAATCTATAAATAAAAAACTATAATTAATGTAT